CTGTGACTTGTGTGGAAAATCTTTTAGTTTGAGGAATACCTTAAAGACACACAAACGCATTCACAGTGGAGTTAAACCATTCAAGTGTAACCTGTGTGGAAAGTGTTTTACTCTAAAGAATAACCTAAATAGTCATACGCTCATCCACACTGGAGAGAAACCATTCAGCTGTGACTTGTGTGGAAAACCTTTTAGACAGAAGAGTGGGCTAAAAAATCACCAACTCATCCACAGTGGAGTTAAGGCTTACAAGTGTGATCAGTGCGGTAAATCTTATACTCGCAATGATGCCTTACAGACTCATCAAGTTTCCCACTCTGGAATTAAGGCGTACAGCTGTGACTTTTGTGGGAAAACCTTTAACAACCTTGGACGCCGAAATAAACACCAACGCATTCACACTGGAGAGGATGTGTACTGCTGTGATCAGTGTGACAAATGGTTTACAACATATGCAAACTTACAAATCCACAAAATTACCCACACCGAAGAGAGATCCTATAAATGTGACCTGTGTGAGAAGGCTTTTAAATATCCACATTCCCTGAAAGAACACCAACAGATCCACACCAGAAAAAGACTCTACAAGTGCAGTTACTGTGAGGTATGTATTTTTATTTTTATCTTGTCATTTTAGCCTGACTGTTTGGAACAACTCGGCTCATTCAATTGTGTTCGCATGTTAGTAATTCTACTACATTTCAATGGGACACTGGTTGAGTCATCCAATTTAGTTTCAGTTGTGAATTTGCTTACATTTTTTGAAATAAAAATTGCATTTTGTAGTACTGGTCATCGTTATGTCTACTATTACTACTGGTAGAATTTGTGACAAAGGGCAGCAAGTCCAACACAGAATTGTGTCAGTATTAGAGTGATGTTATTGTGGAATTACTGTTACTTGTTGTGGTACCACTGTATTATTATATTGTTATTATCATGGTATAGGATTGGGCAATTTGCTTGAAAGTTCAGTTGTTCTGTTGACCCCGGTGGCATCGCCAGTGAATGAGGGTAACAGTGCCAGGAAGTTGAGGAGTCTCCAGTTTTGGTAGTGATCTGTAACATAACCTAAATGTTATAATTGAAACCATAAAAATGATGTAGGGACTCTTTTCTTTCTTTCTTTTTTTTAAGTGACATTCAGGATAAAAATGTTGAAGGACTGACTTACACTCTCTTTGTGTCTTTGTTTAGAAGCAGAGCGACACAGATGGATCCAGTTCTCAACCCTGTCATCACTGTGGTGGTGGGAAAGAGTTTCATTGTGACCTTTGTGGAAAAACTTTCTATCATCAAAGGAATCTAAAAATACATCAACGTGGACATACTGGACAAAAGTTGAACTACTGCAAAGAATGTGGCAGAGGCTTCCCCACACCTAGTGCATTAAAACGCCATGAACTTATTCACAGTGGGGTTAAAAAGCACGTCTGTGACCAGTGTGGGTCATCCTTCACCACTGCAGGTCAACTTAAAGCACATAAACGAGTCCACACAGGAGAGAAACCATACAAGTGCACATACTGTGACAAAAGCTTCTCTCATTCAAATAGCCGTATACTTCATGAACGGACACACACTGAAGGAAACTACAGCTGTGACCAGTGTGACAAAAGCTTCAAGAATCTCAGTTCATACTCCAGACACAAACGATCCCACACTGTAAATAAACAGTTTCAGTGTGACCAATGTGCAAAAACATTCACTTCATTATCTGCTCTGTGCAAACATCAACATGATCATACAGGGCTGAAATCACTCCCATCATTTGGTCACAGTGAATCCGAAGAGATGAAAATCTCCTCTTCTGGTTGCAGGGACGGACTTAAAAGCCTTGAGATCAGGCTCCACAGAGTTCATATGAAATCTCCTGTAGAGGGTGTCAGCTAATATCACAGTTAGATCTGATGAGGTAGTGTTTCTGGGCTTGCAGTGAGTAATAAAGTTAAAATGTAAGAATCTGCATATACAGCATATATATAACAAGTATTTTTCCTAGAAGCTCTTCATGCTCCAAAATGTCCCAGTTACATTTTAGTCTCTTCCCTTCAAAACAGTAATATTTGGTGGTAGTAGTACTTGTGTTATAAAGTTGCAGAAATACCTCTTGTGAGTCAGTGAGCGTACCTGTGTAGCCATTATTTAATTAGGCTGAAGAACACATTCTTATTTGCATTGGTGGCTTGCAGAAGGAAAAGCCACTTGAAGAAATGGGGTTAAGTTGTAATAGATATATTGTATGACTGAGAACTAATTCTGCATTGATTTTGAATATTCAACATGTGGTGAATACTGAAAAGAAGTGTAAGTCTCACAGCACGTGTACTGGCATGTTCAGACGTGCTCATAGAGGGAGGGTGAGTGATAGGGATCCATGGAGATAATCCAATAATCAGTGTTTTGAGAAGATTCAATCGTCCTTCCTCCGAACTCTGTGCAGAGCAGACACCTGGAAGATGGGATTATACTGAGAATTTGCAGTTGGATTATAAAGCAGAGTGCAGGAGGATTAACCATCACCAAACAAATACCATCCAAGAAATGGATCTGTAAGACTTTTCTACTAAGCTCACTGTACTGTACTGGATTGTAAACAGTGAGGAAATCAAGGGACATCAGATGGAGTTGGTACTTTGACATCTTTTTTCATCAAACATGCAGGGAACAACAAAACATACAGAGCATCTATGCCTCCCATTTTCTTCACACCACATTCTGGCTTTGACGCTCCTACTCTGTGCTGTAGTAAATTCTATTTGACAAGCGGTTTCTGATGCGCCAGAACAAGACACCGACACCAGAGTTCCCTTCACCGTCAAGCAGCAAGTCAGAGGAGTGACAGGTGTATTGTTCGTACCGCTCCAACTCTGAGCACTATCTGTTTCAGTGCACCTACTTCAGTCAACTGACTACAGGTCAGAAGTGCACGTGGGTGCAGGCTAATAAGAAGTGTTGGCGCTCTGGCTAGACTGCAAGGTGTTGACGTAGAAGGACATGAAAGCAATGTAAAGAGACCCACCTGGATGGCCTCTTATGCTGTGAATGTACATAGTGGTGGTGGATAAGCAGAGGAAGACAGCCGTGGTGAAAGATGTAGCTGTGCCAAGTGAGGAGAACATCAGATCATCCACGCTGGAGTGAAACCTTTCAACTGCCATCAATGTTGCAAGTCCTTTGGTCAGATTAGCATCTTAAATTTGCATAAGCTTATCTAAGCTAGAGTTAAACCTTTAAGTTGTGCTCAGAGTGGAAAGTTCTTTGGTAGTTTTTGTTATGTAAAAAATAGTGCTGTTTGCGTTAATCTCGTTAAAATGACGTTAACACCATAACCGCACATGAACTGAATAATAATAATGCAAACTGCAGATGTAAGCATTATTGCGCTGACCTTTGTGGAAAAACATTCAGAGTGCCGTGTGCTCTAAAAACACACCAACATATGAACACTGCACACAATGCTGTGACAAAACTGCCAGACCATTGGGTCAAACTTTCAAAGTTTAAGATCAGGCTTCACAGAATTCAGCTTTAATCTCCTGTTTAGTGTTACTGCGAGAAAGTCCATCAGATCAGTTATGACCTCAGACGTGCTGTCTGGTGCAAGCAAGTATTGTTAAACTTTTAAAGTATTCAGCTAAGTATTAGAAAAATACCTGGACTGTTAGGATTATCAAGTAAATAGAAAGACTACAGATGTGATGTTTGCTTTGAGGATTTGATCCAGAAGTACAGACAATGAAATTTACCATGTAAACTATTTACTTCCTGATAACAGCTGCATTTACACCGTGTTGTACTGGATGCTTCAAAGAAATGAATATGTAGACTGTATGCTAATCTGAGGCTTTGTTTTACATAATCAGATGTTTATAGTCGCCTTATACATTTATAAGCTACATACCAAGAAATCAAAATTACTCAGAGTATAATTTGTCTCCATCCCAATAAAATACCTAAAATTATGCAACACTTAAAGTTACTCATGCATTCTCTGAATTTACTTACACATTACTTAAAATTAACAACAAGAAACTTTTTGTCCTGCAAAAAACTGGTGCTTAGTGTACCTAATTTTAAACATTTGTGCTTAAAGCCTTTGAGATTCCAGAACCTCAGCAGATGTAGTTGGTTAACCTAGTACATAATTTTTATTTCGTTTCATGCATTTAATTGACTGCATGCATTTTTGTTGTCTCTGGTTTTGGCAAAAGCACAACCAGTTAAGCTTTGCTAGCTGTGTATGAACACTTAACTTGCGGCTTGTCTAAATGTTGCTTTAACAAAACCTTTCAGCAGCATGTACATGTTCATATAGCAGCGCTTAATTCTGTAAGTATTCTAAAAACAGTTGTTTGTAATAAAGGATATGAAGTGTAACAATTAGTGCTAAAGCTTTATTGTTACAGCAATATGTATTTTCTCCACTAGGTGGAACCTTTTATCTTTGTAATGAGCTGAAGTTGTATGTGTTTGCTAACTGCCTGTCAGAACTTAACAGATTTTGAAATATCCATGTCTCCCATTGAATAATGGAGGTGAAAAAACACCTGTCTGAAGCTGGCAGCCAGCATTTGCAGAGACTTCCTTTGAATTGTTGTTATTTATTTATTTATTAGGTATTCTGATTTTACTTAAACTGTGCAATAAATAGCAGCAGAATTCTGTCAGAACCTCCTGATTCTTGTCAGTGGAGTCAGTGCTGCGACATTTCTGTTCTAGTTTACTCATGTGAAATGTCCTATAAATGTCTTTGTTGTTTTAAAATTTGAGTTTGTTTTGCTGCATGAGGAGATAAAAATACAAAAAAAGATCCTATAAATAATAAAATATACACGAAGTTAGCTTACATGCAGTTTTGACTCTGGTACTTACTGCTCAGTATCTTATAAATGTCAAATATGGTTCTTATCAAGTGCTCAATTTAATTTTAATTCCAACATCAAAGCTTTTATAATGAGGTAAATACCCTACAGTATATATAATAATAATAAATAATAGAATCACTAATGAACTGATTACTTTAATATTTTTGGCATACAATATGCAGTTATTAAAAACTCATGTCAGTCATGATAACTGTTTGGATTTCCATGTATCATATGGCTTGTGAAAATACAGGGGAAGTGGTTTCAAAGTTAAAGACAGAACAAGCAGGATTAAATGCAGTGATGCATTTTGAGGGAGGAAGGTGATGCACAAGCAGGAGAAACCCTAGTTAAAAACACAGAAGTAAAAGTGTGTGTAGCGTGTTTTAATATTTTCGTGCAGGGGGATTTATGCAGTGCCAGGACTCCACTTTCAGCCTTTTTTGAATAGATATGAAGAAAAATAAACGGTGAGCGCTCAAATACTCTGTGAGCTGTGAAGACAAGCAGGTGGTGACAAAACACCAAGCTGGCAACCGCCGCAGAAGAAGAATGATGTCCCTCTCTGACTTTCCGTACAGCCTACAAGCTTCCCGCATTTACGGCACATTGTTTGCGCTTGTGCATGCTGGTCTGCCGCCTGCTCTGAGCTTTCAAAGTCACCCATCTCAAAACTGCATTGGAGATGGGTGACTGCCAACAGTGGGGTGAGAGATGAAACATCTTCATGAAACCTAAAGAAGTCCATTCGCTTTCTTTCCAAGCTCCATCTACTTTGATGATGGAGAACCAAGGACGTAGATTTGGCATGGACGGAAGGGACATGTCCCCACCAATAATTTGATCTCTTCGAGTAAAGAAAAACAAACCCGATAGTAAGAAAAAAACGATCTGTCAGCTTCTCATTCAGCGTCTCGGTGCAGAAAGAGTTAAATTACGTTTTCTACCGGAGTCCTACGTCATGTGACAAATATGGCCAATGTGATTGGCTGAGCCTTTCATAAGGGAGCTCTGTTTAGTTTCAGCAGCGGCAAACCTGCGCTGCCAGGAGGAGAGGAGGATGGCAGCAAAAGGAAGAACCTGGATATAAGAAATTGTTTTTCAAAGAAACCTGTAAGTCACGTAAAGTCAAGTTCACTCATATAATGTGTCCGTCACAATAACATTACAGGCTACGCTAGGCCATACATGCCAACACTCACGATATTTCCGAGAAATCCCGAATTTCAGTGCCCCTCCCGAAAATCTCCCGGGGCGACCATTCTCCCCCCAATTTCTCCTGATTTTCCACCCGGACAACAAAACTGAAAACCATATCCCAGACTGGCCCAGCCAATTCCAGTTTCCAACAATGGCTACTATTACTGCAGCTACTTAGT